TATTACTGGAAATACCTATTAATATCACTCTCCATCTTCAATCTCCTTTATGTTTAAGAGTTAAATGTCCTTCATGAGAATCTTGGTTTTTGTAGAAGTGCCCCCTGATCCTCCATGTCATCACTGCATTGTTGTTAGTAGATGAAGCACCGAGCATTCAGAGGTATATGACAATGGTATGTCTTGAAAAGTAATAGTTTTCACCTATTATATGGCTCCAATGATTTTAGAGAATAAAAAGACACTCAAGGTTTTAACCAGAGAATTCAAAATATGTATCTGCCTTAATTCTGCTATTCTAAGAAAATCTTCAAACCATCGTGTAGGATAATTCCCTCCATGTTGGGTTTCTTATCTTCACACCTATGGCCAAATGTTGCCACCTCCTTCCCTTTTCTGTCTTAGAGCCGCCTCGCACCTCCATCTCCTGCCTCCTTTTGTCCCACCCCCATCCTTTCTTTGTCCTGCTCTACACATCAGTGTGCTCACGGGGGATGCAATATCTCTGACATTCCACCTCCCCCACGCTTTACCCTCAACCCCCCCTCCCCTCTCTTTCTTGAGGGCATTCGTGTACATTGTACACGTTAAGCGTCGAGTAGTCGATCTAACTGCATGCGTGAACGTGTACGTTTCTGAGTGATAAATGAACTGAAACTTGTCATAAATGATGACCGCCCATCTTCGCATCCGAGCCCCACACTTACTGCCAAAAGAAAAGGCCACCCGATTTATCTTTCAAACACGTATAAATGCATCATAAGGTCAGCATTACTGCCTGCGTGGTCATCTGCAGCAGAACGATTCCCTCGGCACACATTGCAATCACATCAGTCCTCCTTTTCTCAGAAACAGTCACTCCATTAATGCTTTCAGTGCCACGTCTCCTGTGGCCTCAGCATGTTAATGCTCACATTCTCTATCACTCACCCTCCACCACAAGACGCTCCATCTTAAACCACAGCCATAGGCAACGGCACAGTGAAGAGGGAAGCAGAAACCATATTGTTGTGCTCAGCCACACTATACTTTACACAAACATACCCTCATGAACACAATCACAGATCATGCACAACAGCAGGCAGTCACTTTGCATATTTTCCATATAACAAATACTGTAAGATAAGGTCTTTATTATTCAGTTATTCCAAAAGCTTAAAATCTGACTTTTATTTGCATTTGTCTTATGCAAGGGCTCCTCAAGGTTTGAAAAAGAAAAAATTAAATAAACTGCCCCAAAACTACTGAAATAACCATTATCATAATAACTGGCAAGCCAATGAGTCATAATAGATTTACATGTTTCACAATCCAAAAAATCCTAAACTTTTCCTTTAATTTCTAAGTCTTTGTGTGTTTTTTTTTTTTTTTTTAAATAGCCGTTCAAAAACTAAGAAAATTATGATACACTTGCAGAGGTTGCAGCTGTTGTTTCGGTTTACTTAAGATTATTTCACAAGTTTTCTTTACATGTCCCAAATTTCATGAAGCAAATAGACATTTTGTCTAAAATACCGAAATGTCACAGCTACAGCATCAAAATGATCCAAAACCAGCTCACATGGCGACCTGCTGGATGAACCACATGACGCCTACTTACTGCAGCGAACAGTCCTAAAGTGTGTAGCATCCAGATGGTGATGGGTATGGAAAAGTGAGTTCAATCTAGTGAGGGAAGGTGAAAAAATAGAAAAACATTTGAAAATTGACTGGCTGAAAAAAATTGATTATAAAGGATAAGATTATGTGCTTCAAAACCAGCATGATGGTCTACTTAAAGAAGTACGTCATTTATTGTTGACAGTGTCATTAAAGTATGACCAAGAAGAGAGGCTGTATTAGATTGGCCAAAATCTTCTTTCTACTGGTTTCTCTCCAAGTGCTTTAGATAATTGTGAAGCCTTCTTACACTACTGCATGCTGAAATTAATCAGGAAAAAGGCCACAGTCTGAATCCGACACTGCCTTCCAGCAATTTATTTTTCGCTACACCCAAGTTAGATCATTCGGACTGAGCAAAAACCGAGTTGAATATGTTTACCTTGCGTGCCATTTTTATAACACATTCTCACCGCATCCTCTGACATTCAGTGCCGCTGTGCTTTGCATGCTCTGGATTCTACATATTGCCTTCCTAGATTAAACTTCATGGTTTGGATGCTGTCGAGTGGTTAGGCACAGCAAATGATGATGGCCTCAATAAAACTGAGACGTGGTTAGCATAATATGAGAGAAATACAGTATGAAAGAAAAGCATGTGCCCCTGAAATGTCATGTTGACTGGCATTTACTGAGTTAGTTATTTACACGTAGCTGCTTTTAAAATGTCATCACAACAGGAATGACTGTTTTTAATAGTTTAACCCTTTATAGGAATCTCGGTGAAATATATAAAAATAAAAAGTTTCATCCCTTGAGAGTTATATCGAGCTATTAGAACCATGTTTAGCTTTATTTTTTGTTTATTCTTTGATTTAGGCTACACAGCAAGATTAAAGAAATTATCATATACCATTCATTGTCCATCTAAAGAAATAAAGATAATAGTTTAAAGGTAAACTATGAAATCATTATTTGTCAGAACACCATAACTGATTAAATTATTCTAATGTTATGAAAAGCTGGGGATCGATGGTTAAATTGTATATAATTGATCAAATAATGGTAATTTGCCTTTAAAGGTTTAAAGATATGTTCCTTGCAATCTGGATTTACAAATTATTCCACACACCTTGAACATTGGCACACAGGAATACACTGCAAAAGTAATTAATATGAATCCAATTTGTATAAATGGAGTTGATGCAATTAAACATTTCTTGTTGATTTGTATTGGCCATGAAGTTTGAGTGTTTTTGTGAAACGTGCATTCATACAGCTGTGGAGGCCATACAAACACAGAACAATCTCTTTAATCTACTCCTGCACACAAATGCATACAAGGATGATGGCATTGGAAAAAAAGAAAGAAAGCAACCAGAGCCGGCAGGATGGTTTTGATTATTAGCGATGTGAGTGGAGGGATGTCACCTGGGAAGTGTGTTACGGCTGGGAAATCTGGAAGCAGTAAAAAAGAAGAGGGAGAACGTGAGGGAAAAAAAGTGGGAACATCAGAGGTAGGCGTCTGTGACTTGTGGTGGCTGGTGTGACCTTTGACCTCTCATTCCCTCGGCTGTTCCCTTTGAGCTGCTAAAATGTGGCGCGAGGAGCCAGAGGACAGCTGAACCCCCCCCCCCCCCCCCCACCCCCCCACCCCCCTCCACATCTTCTTCTGGGCTCTCCCTGAGAAGCTGAGGTCCCCTTTCTCAGCAGGCTTTAAATGCTGCGGGGTCAGGGGGAACCGGGGCCCGGTTGAGGTGGTCCAGTCTGGGGATTAAGTTTCACTGCTTTGCACGGCCAGTCTGGACAGTTGTGTGTGCGTGTGTGTGTGGGTGTGGGTGTGTGTGTGCGTCTATGCCAGGTAGACTGGGGCAAGTTGAAGACAAAATCTAAATGAAGTCTCCATATCAAAATAAACAATTCTGAACAACCTCCCTTTGTGACTGAAATCCTCCACAAAGTAACACACAAACAGCAGCCACGTGCAAAACAGAAAATCTTTAAAACAAACAACTTCACAACCCCTGTGGGGGTAAAATGGATTTCCCCCCTGTTTCTACCTCATAAGTTTGTTTTATTTATTTCCCATAGAATGTATTTATTCATTTTTAGGAGTTGGGGGAGTTCTTCATCATGCGAACGGAGAGAGTGAGAATAGAGGGTACTATATCCTGTACAACTTCTGAAGCCCCTTAAGTGTGATTTGTTCTACTGAGATCTATAAATATGGCTAGCTTGACTGCTACATTTTTTGGACTTAAAAAAAAAACTATTTGCACCACATGTGATTTGTTGAATGTAGTCAGGTCTTCAAAGAGAAAAGCACTTAGACAGTCAAGCAGATTGTAAAAAGGTTCTTGTGTAATGGTTTACATAATGGTCTGATTATGTAAACCATTTAAGTAGGAGGGAAAAAATGAAGGTGTCCTGAGAGTGAAGTAAGTTGTTGGGTAATAATGTTTAAACACTGCAGGAAGAGTCAATCAATCAACCTTTCTGATTTTAGACTGAAAACTAAAGAAAAAAAAATGTTGTAGAATAATTAGAAATCGTGAGATTAGGATTTTGTTATCTTGACTTCAGGACATGTTGGCTATTGAGGTATATTTTAATAACTTGCTCTCTTTTACGTTGCCCCAGAGTAAAATATTAAATACCAAAATGGGCAAAGGAATACAGAAAATGGAGCAAAAACTGAATTTTCCTTTCTTCTGTTACCCGGGAGAGAGAGATAAAAAGGCGGGTGATTCATATAAGACTCTGCCTTTGTCTCAAAGTGCACTCATGCATTGGGATTTAGAGTGATTAGAAGTCCGGCACCAGGCTTCATCGACCAGGAGCCCTGGGCCTTGTGCTCAATACTCTTTGTCTGGCCAGAGGGCCATGAGTTAATGTGCTGAACAGGAGAACAGGAAGGTAGAACGAAGAGAGAACAGAAGCCTGCATCGCATTGATCTGCTGCACCTCTGTGGATTGCAAGAAGCAAGCAAACACACACACACACACACACTCATCCATCCATCCATCCATTATCAATACCGCTTATTCCCTCATGGGGTCGCGGGGGGAACTGGAGCCTATCCCAGTGGTCAACGGGCGAGAGGCAGGGTACACCCTGGACAGTCCGCCAGTCCATCGCAGGGCCACACAGAGACACACAAGGACAAACAACCACTCACACTCACATTCACTCCTAAGGGCAATTTCCCCAATCTCCAATCAGCCTAACATGCAGGTTTTTTTGGACTGTGGGAGGAAGCCGGAGAACCCGGAGAGAACCCACGCTGACACAGGGAGAACATGCAAACTCCACCCAGAAGGGCCCTGGTTCCCCCGGGATTCGAACCCAGAACCCTCTTGCTGGGAGGCGACAGTGCTAACCACCACACCACCGTGCCGCCCACACACACACTCACACACACAGAAACACAGAAAACAAAGACCCATTTCGGTTTATCACTAGAGCTAGTTTATTATCACTGTTATTGTTTTTTTGTTTTTTTCAAACTTTCAATCAGTGTTGCACAAAGAACCCTAAAACAATACAAACCACTAAAAATGGTCTATTTTTTACACATATACATACACACATACAGTACATATAGTATATGTGGATATGTATAGAGATTTATAATCAATCATTTTGACACCCTGGTCTAGAGAGAGTGAAAAAACAGCAAAACTTTGCAGACACATACAGCAGTGATCCCTGAAAATGCTCTGAGAACACTCATGCTGACCTGAATAAAACTGTAGGTGTGAAAAGAGGATATTGGCAGTGACCTCAGCAGACAGACATGAAACCCGACTGACAGACAGAAAAAAACTGACAGACATACAAACGCCCTTATGAATGATTATGAGTTAAAAATATTGTGCTCCCTTTATTCCTCCTAAAACAGTCAGCCAGATGCTCAGAGAAAAACTCTACACAAGTGGAAATATGAAATTTTATCATGAGGTTGGCACTACATGTGAACCCTGCAGGACCTTAAAAATAAAACTGCATAGATGAAACCATTTAATGCCTGGAACCAGCACAAGCTAAAGCAAGAATAACCTAATAGAGAAGACAGTGATGCATTCAAGAGGAAATTTATTGATGTTTTCCACTGATAGTTTCTGGAATGTCATTAAGAAACATACTGTTGATGTTTCAGTGAGAAGAAAAGATTAAATACATCCACGGTACAAATCCAATTCTAATAAAGTCTGTTTAATGTCTCTGGCAAATTAAATCTATCTTCATGGATCAGATTGGTTTTGGAACATTAAGCACTTAATAAATTACATAAAACTTTTCCATAACTTGTTTTTTGATAAATCATAAAAAAATTAGTAGGATTCTATGTCAGGAACAGAGTCTGCTGGTTTTGGAGTTGGTAATCAATTCTGGAGTTACAAACAATATGTGAGAAGTTTAAATCCTATAATCAATACAACTAAAGTTCAGTTTGCAGCTTTAACGATTAAAACTAACCACATAAGTTTTTTCGATTTTATGCATATGAGATAAATTCTTGTGGCAAACCACAGCCGCACTGGGGCACGAGCAGGTCAAACATTCTTACGCCTACGTGTTTTGATATGTCGACAAGATATTGACATAAATCCCCCTGTAAGGGATTTTTAAATTCTCTCTTTCCCTGTGGTGGTGCCAGACTGAAGCAGCTCTGTGATGCTTCCCCACACACAGACATTTTACAACCCATGTCTCCGGGAGGAGATATTTTTACCACTAAGTTGTCTCTAACTTAAATGTTTGATGCTAAATTTAAAGGACAACCATGGTGGTCAGCTTCACCAGCAGAGCAGATCCTATCCGGGAGACAATTTCATGCTTTTCTGTTGCACGGAGGGAGGGTCTGAATTGTGTTGACAAAATCAATATAAACAGAAATTCTCCTCAAGAGAGGATGGTTTGTGAAAGAAAATGACGACAATGTGTTGCTTTTACAGGTAACAGGACAGACAAGGCATCACCCTGAGTCACTCATGTGCACAGGATGCCAGGTGGGAAGAGGATGAGGATGAGGTGATCATCAGGCGCCAGAGAGGGCAAGACAGACTGTCAACAGAAAAGGTAATTCGACCTTTTTTCATCAATACACACCATCAAACAGATTGACTGACAATGTGAGACAGAACCATCAATAGTACCATACTGAGATCACAACATTATTTTGCCATTATTTGGCAGAATATCACAGTGTTACCATCACAAGTCCAATAATGATTTACTAACACTTTTTAGTTGACCTAAAATAACACGTCAGCTTTTTACTTAGTTTTTTTTATTCATTTTCTTCTGTCATGCAGATCTACTTTATATTTTCTCTGCCTACTACCTTTAAATACACTGGATTAAATCCACCTTCTTGGAGGAAATATGTAAAATATAATACTGATCTTAAACATTACAGGCCATTTACATTAAATCACCATTTGACAATAAATTACTTAGAAAACCTTGAACTCAGCATTATTTGACGCGGACAGTCATTTGCGTTCCAGCAAAGAACACCGGAGTCCAAATTCATTGGAATTTTAAGCTGTTCACAATCGTGTCAGGATAATAATTTGGCCCCAGTTTGATTAATGTAAAGGACGTTTGAAGAAAGCGCTGATTGTATTGTGTGTGGGCTGGTAGAAAAATAAATAGTTAAAAGAATCTCAATGTTTCAGATCTCCTCAATGTCCTTGTTGAGTCACCTCTTCAAAAACAGACGTAACACATAAATGAAGTGTCCACCTAGACTAACTATCATCTTTTTAACTTCTTCTATTTACCTGTCTTTAGTTAATGCATAATAAAAGAGAGAGAGTTGCACAGCCAGATGAGTAATTATGAGGGTAAGAGCCATACTCTGGTAGCATATTTAATGTGAAACAAACCCTGTGCATGACCAGCGTAGGATGCCTCCTTTATGAGAACCTGAGCGCAAATCTACAGCAGCAAACAGCGGTAATCCTCATCCTACATTAATGTACATATCATGTTCTAGGTCAACTGATTCTTTGCTCTATACAATGTCAGAAAACAGTGAAAGATCACAACTTTTCACGACTCTCTAAAGCTCATGCTAACATCTTTGAAAGGCTTATTGTGTCCGATACTCAATGCAAAGCAAAATATATTCAGGCGTATATACTATTTTATACAGAACACAAAGGATTCTGGTGATTCAGAAGCTCAAGAAACATTTAAAATTGAATTTTGAATGTTACTGTTGTCACACATTTCTCCATAGTAACTGATGAACTATTAGGTGGGGTGTGGTCAGATGTCCAGTGCTATGGGGTAAACTAGGGGTAAATGGCACAGTTCTGTTCAGCCAATATGTCTTCTGTTTACATAAATGGCCACTTTGTGAGGCAAATCTGTCTGAGCAAGTTCAATTTGAGGGGGAAAATCAAGTCCATGAGGCCAAATAAATTTGGAGCAAATATAATAATTGGTTCAGAGAGTCCCTGAGCACACAATCCCTGACCAATGATTTGGATTCACCAAAAGAAAAGGCGAAGGGGGGAAGAGTCAACTGACAAGAGCAGAGTTTATGATAGAGCACTTCCGAAGACTGTAAAACACACAAGACAAAGGCTCGCTTTTCACCGGCGGCGCCAGCCAAGGAATCACACGATCCTCTCAGCTGATGGAGTTACAGCACCCGTCAATCAGTGATGACAGCTTTAAGCACCTCTTTAAATCAAACAAGATCTAATATTTTACGGCAATGTGACAACCCGACCTATCCAAGTCTAATCCCGTAAACATGATCGTCACTACACCACGTTCACAGTGGTTCAGGTTAAATAGTATGGCACTCAGACCTGTCACATCCACGAGGGGTGAGCGATTTCCTGCAGCTGGAGATTAACCTTAAATTACAACGAGGGACAGAGGAACTAAGCACGGAAGAAAAAACACACCACTTCATTCCCGAGTGAAATTACTCCCAGCAGAGGTAAAAAAAAAAAAACACTGATTAAGGCTGCAGCAGCCCCGGAGATAACATATCAAATCTGTGATTGATAAATTTACACATGGGAGACATTTAAGTCAGAGGCTGTTTTTTCAGCTTTTTGACACTTAACACCCCCCCCCCCCCAAAACCCTGACACTTCCAACATGATAATATCACTAAAGTGTACATTTAAATAGAAGAACTAGATACCAGAATCAGCAGAGAAATAAGCATAAACATAAACATTTAAAAGGCATAACATGAAGATCATTACTAAGAGGGAAATTGTGCAGAAAGTACGGTAAATGCTGGCTTGCCTTACATCAAACTCTGAGGCGATTAGCTGTTATGAGGAGACATTAAACTCTTATCTGGAACACGATTCTCTAAGCTGCAACTAATAGTATCTTTAAAATCGTCTGAATCAATTGCAATCAAACTATGTTGCACATCTGACCCACTAGACCTGTCACCTGTCGGTAAACCAGGCAGGGGTTAGCATCTTTACTAGTTTATGTGTAAACCGATAACAAAAGATTATGTCAGCTTTAATGCAACCAGGCATTACGCTATTCAACGCCACAGATGTGCTGGTTGGGCTGAAAACAATCATCTTTCTAATGTTCCAGTAAATGAATCCGAGAGCCATCTTTTCCATCTTGACTTCTAATGGAAGCAATCTAAATAGGTTTGGGTAAAGTAATCACTAAACTTTTGAGAGAAGGAAAAAAAATCACTGAACCAATTTTGTGGATTTTGTGTGAAGAGTTGTAACTTCAGAAGAGAAAAAATCAAGTTGAGAGCTTGTGATGTATATGTATATAAAAAAATGACACATGTAACTTAGATTAAAAAGCATGGACTGTTTAAATAACTAGTGCACAACACAAGGGTCCTGAAAAGTTCTCCCTCCATTAAAATGTAGGTTTACAGTATGTCTGTGTTCACACTCTGTGGTTTCCTTCATTAAGACCTGAGGGAAAGGCCAAAAACAGGGTTGAGGTAGGTAACCATAATGCATCAAAGAAATTCCTGTACAGTATGACAGGGAGCCGCAGTGTGAGGCTCCGTGATTGTTCGGCCACCCAGCATCCGTTTATCTTCCTCAGCCACTCTCTGTCTATGGTTGTCAGTTTCTAACAGGTACAACTTGTTGTCTCTGAAGCACTTTAACTAGTCATAGTTGACAGGAGGGAGAAGGGTGAGCAGCTACTGTGGTTTTGGGAAGAGATACAGTAGATAATCAAGACAGGAAACTGTCTTTTCTACTGGGCACTAAACATGCAAAAGGCTACTGCTTTGATAAAAGAGGAGGCAGGTGATGTGATAAGAAAAACAAATGACCAAAAGTACTGCAGCAATACATATTCAGAAAAGAGTTAGAGATACACTGCCATCAAACGTTTTTTGCTTAGCTTTCTTGCCTGAAGATCAATACCCATTTCTTACTGTGTTTTTTAAGATTTTGGCAAAAATGTTCGTTCACATTCTCATGCAGAGCAAGATGAGAAGATCAATAAAACTCATATCTATCTTTAACATCTTTCTGGGTTTATGCATTGGTGTTCTGGAGAATAAACAAGATGTATTGATGAACTGCCGTTACAGAGGTTAGCAGGTGGGTTTTATTACCATTGCATCCTATCCTGATTCCAGCTTTTATTCTTTGCTAACAAACTGGAGCTTTATTACTCAAGTGTAAATATGAGTGTATCATCAGTGGTCATAGTGTAGTTATCGAGCTTGACTTGCTATGAGTGTATGTGTCTTGTTTCCAAATTCTATTTTAGGGGAGACTCAAAGTCTCAGATTTTGAAAGCCCTGCTGGGGAATTGTGTTTAGGTTTCTTCCTGAAACATCTGCATGAAAACATTCATTCAATCAATAAAAACACAAATATACTGTACATAGACACGAATCAAAGCACCCACTGAGAAGCAGTTGCTTCTATTATGTTTGTATATTAGTGTTTACTGTTCAGTTAAGTAATAAATATCACACCCCATTCTGCAAATGCAGCACGGAAGGTGATTTGCAATGCAGTGTATCTCTAATATTCTCTTCATTTAAACAAAATAACTAACAATGAAAAAATACAATGACTTTAAAATAAAATAATATCTAGGAACAAAGCTTAGAGCATATTTCTTACATATTCTCAACACACTGCAAATCATGTTATCAGTCTGTCAGCTTGCATGAGGTACTGACACCACAAACATCGTATATTCAACAACAGTGGAAAGCCAGGACTTCACAAAGTATGAGGGAAGGAAGGGTTTTCATTATGCAATAAACAGACAAACAACAGCGACAACATTAACATAGTTATCTTGAGGTAGAACATTAATTTCAGCATTTGGAAGTGCTTTATGTTGGATGCTCGTTTTTCCAATTCACGACGATAAGCAGGAGAGGAGAGACAGTCCTTGATATCTGAGGTAGAGCAGCACCTGATCTTGTAGTTTTCCATCCAAACGGTTTCTCCATATGTAAAGTAATTGTGAGCACAGGGGAAGGTCAAGTCCATATAAGCTTCCCATGACACATTCATTCCGGCTGAGGTAGGTTTTTGTTGAATCGTAAGGTTTACACAGCCAAGTCTAGAACTTGTATGAAGGCCGAGAACTCATAAAAAAAATGATGATTTCACTGAAACAAATTCCTGAGACAGAGTATGTTGAATCCCTGGAAGAAGGCTGAGGTCTTCTGTGAGTAAGAGTAAAATGAAAAACTGGCAACAGGAGTCTTTGACATCCACAGAAAAGTAGAGACAAGATTAATCATTTCTAACCACTCATAATCTGGTACATATATATGTGTGTTTGTATATGTATATGCATATATATATACATGTACATACACACATTGTTTTGTATGCCTTGCTGAAAACCTCCCTGCCATAAACACTCCAGCATACAGGTCCTACAGAACCTCTCAACCTACCAATAAAAAACAAAACAATTTTTGCACCAAAGGAAATACTACTTGGAAAAGAAACACTTATCAACCTGAGTGAGACAAAGTCAAAGTAGACACTAGAGAGTGTCGTATGAACGGGCCTTCATACATGATTAGCCTTGGCCCTGCTGGGCCGGTCCTTCTGCAGGATGCTCCTGGAACTGCGTCTCCCTCTCAACTGCATATTCGTCCAGCGGTATCGAAGACAGCTGGGTGTCGTTGATCATATAGGAATCGGACTGAAAATGAAAATAAAAAACAGCTGTGAATCCTAATTGGCTGGGCATTTGAGTTGTCATGAACTGGATGCAGAAAGGAATGATGAGAACCATAAGAAAGGGAGATATGATACCTATTTTTATATTTTATGAGTTCCGATATTTGGAATTCCAGGAATTTTATAAGCTGTAACTTCAACACAGACAGCAGTTACGCACAGAGCGTAGGGCCATAGGTAACATACAATGGGGTTACACCAGATGGAACTTCCTGAAAGTAACATCTTTATACAGCAAGTAAATGCATCCCATTTAGTGAATTAGAGTTATATTACAATTAAAAAATGTCATTTTGGCAGTCTGACAGAGGCCAGTGGCTCTGTGAGGTTCTGTAAAATAATGTTAGCTCCATTGTCGTGTCAAAAGCCATGAGAATGCATTTTGTAATTTCCATGTCACTGTGTGACTGCACAGCGTAATTCAGTTGAATGATTACCTGCTGCCCGGTGTCACAAACCAGCATAGCTATAACACGCAACTCATGTTTTGTGTCTGAAAAACACATCCTCCAGTCGTTTTTCTCTCATCACAGGATTTGTTCAGTGACACGATGAATTGAAGAGTCTTTTTACTCAATGAGCATGAACTCAAATACACACGTGAAAAAGGTGGCTGGTGGTGGATTATAACACTACAGTACTTCATTTTGCTGGCTAAATAAAACAAAAGAAAAGTAGAAAAATGGAATTAACTGGATGGCAGAACATAAGACCATATTGAAAAGACAGCTGGGCAGAGTGGACAGTTTGTGCTAATCTCCCTCCACTCACAACACAGATGTCCTTACAAACAATATAACTGTGTATTGTTGAAGCAAAAACAATTATGAACTTATGAACAGGAACTCTCACTATCGGCACTCACCATTCTTGTATCTCGTGTGTCGGGTTGAGTGAAAAGTCTCTCGAGCTCATTGCTGTCGACCATTTTCTTCCCTGCGGCGCTGCCATTGACCTCCATCTCTCTTCTGGCAGCCCCGTTAAGCGCAGAGGCCCCCTGAGAAGAGGAAGAGGATTCCAGCACCGCACTGTGCCCTGCCTGGGGGGTGGCCTGAACTGTCTTACACATCATTAGCCTGGGGATTACACAAACAAACACACGTAAAGCAAATTGCCTGTTGGAGACGCGATAAGCATTAACCCAGGCATTAGCGGTTTGTAACCAGTCAATTCCGTCGTTTTTTTTTTTGTTGATTATGAAGTCTGTTCTGACCTGCCACGGTAGCTGAAGACCAGGAAGAGCACACAGAAGACAATGCAGGTCACTCCGATGTGGATCCCGATGATGATGCCTGTAGTGGATGTTTTGCTCTGTTCATCTTTCACACAGTCACACGGACCGTCCAGCACTGAGGGTGTAAAGAGCATATCACAGTGTCTAGTCAGCAGGGTGTGCGCAGACCCTAAGGCCCGACATGTGGGATGCTGATTGAAGCATTAAAAATGTGCGTGCGCCAATCACCAGATTTTTCCAGAGCCTCTCGAAGTGAAACGAATCTCAAGGTAGCATTTCCATCTCCGTGCTGGTTGTACGCAAGCAGCTTTATCTCATAGACCAGAGAAGAATCTGGACAGATAAAAAGACAGAATGCAAGGTCGCTTTTTTAATTTTGTTCTGAGAGGAAAAGGTTGTTGCTTGTCTTATCTGAAGAACAAAATAATTGAGCAACTTTAAAAATCTGTAAATGCAACTTTCGTGTTAGACCTTTTCTCAGCCGAAAATGGAAACTATTTATAACTCGATCCAGAAATATCTCTTTTTTTTTAAAGAGGATATTCCTAAAGCTTTGTGAGAGTATAATATAAACACAGCATTAAAATAAATAAGTTCAAAATAAGTTTGGTCTCTAAGATTCACTGCTGCGTTCAGGGACAAACTGTGGCCTGTTTCTCACGCATGCAGACTCTGCTGGTATGATGCTACCTTTGACAGTTGGTAACTAAAAATAAAAAGTTGCCTTACTCAATCAGTAAGATTTCCCAAATAGGCAGTGAATGCAGAGAACAAAAGTCTCCGTTTGTGCCAATCTGGAGATTGAAGATGACTAGATTTTCTGTTTGATCTCTTTGGATCAGAGCAGCGCTACACTAGCAGAAATGAGGCACGTCAAATTAATCTGAACAAGCTTAGAACCTGAGACTACGCTTGAAAGACACTATTTAGGACGATCCTGCGACAGCGTGTCACGTTCTTCTGAATGTGTTTTACCCAGCTGAGTGATGTTGTGTTGGGTGACGTTGCGGGGGAAAACAATGGGGCCGACGAAGACTGGCGCGTGTGCTCGTCTGTAGTAGAGCCTGAAGCCCTGATGCTGGCCCATCTTAGAGGAGGGTTCCCACATCACTTGCACAACGCTGCTGTTCAACACCTTCGTGAAGAGGGAAGGAGGAGCGGGAACTGCAAAACAAGCTCAATTTCAGCCAAATCGTTCAAGACTGGACACTTATTTTTCAAAAATCTTTAGTATCACTTTCACAATGATTATGGTTACAAATACTTTTTTATTGGTGAAAGAAAAGCTTGACCTCTGATTGAGTTAGATTAATCCCAACTCACCCTCCCCGTGAGTGCTTTCGTTGACACTTTCTGATGGCTTGCTGGCTCCATGGGATGTGTAGGCCTTGACATAGAAGGTATAACTGGTGGAGGGCTCCAGGTCACGAATGACCTGCTGAAGGGTCATCTTACTGACCGCCTCCTCGTACTCCATCTCCACTGGGTCTAGACGAGGAACGATGAAGGAAGAATAGGCGGAGAAAGGAAAAGGAAGCAATGTTCATAGAGTTTTAGAGTTTTTATGGCCTTTTTCACTGGTTTTATCAAAGCTCATCTGAAATCTGATAGCTACCTAGTTTGGTTCTGGGAGCCAGTATAACTGTGCAGGGGTGAATTGGAGGGTTGGAGGGGATATATGATGGGGGTAAACGGGGAGCTGTACGGGCCATGTTTTATTGCTTTTAATTTAGAGACACCCACCCGTAACTGCTATCTACCTCCACCTCACAAGCCATTGGGTTAAACCATCTTGGGGTAATTACAGCAGGAACTTTTGGTTGCCCCCCCAGGGCGGTTGATTATTCAACCCCGAGAAGTAGTGAGGAAGATATCAGATGGCGCTCCTCACACACCAGAGCACACGCTTACACTTGCCCAAAGCTGTGAGCAAACTTGCTGTGTATGTATAAATAAACATGGACATGCCGGAGCATCATAGTTATAGTCTGCGCATTAGAAACACAAGGTGAAATAGCTGACAGTCAGGTGATCAGACTTTTACAGAACATACACACACACACACATACACGTGTATACATTACTTTGTTTATGATCTGGTTGACTCATATTAATTGTGGTATTTTAAGAAAACCTAATATCATATTACAAAGACGAGAATACATCCCAGTGGCAGTGATGGTAAATACCAAAACAGCTTAAAACACGTAGTAATTTTTCAGCTTTGCATAGTGATTGTTTGTCTCTCTCAGGGGGCTGTCTGAACACATTGGCTGAAAATGAGGAGGGTTAATTTATTCCCACAGTTGACAAATGAAACTTATCGGACCACATGTATGAGTGAGACTAAAAGTGGAGAGAAGGCCACGGGGGAAACAGGACTTAAACGTGTAATGAGTCCCTCGTTGCTAACATCAGCACCGTGTTTATCATCTGAGTTGTTCAGCCCTACCTGAGGTCCTGCGGATGTGGAGCACGTAGCCAATGATGTCCTGAGTGTTCTGATCGGGCTCCCTCCAGGACACCTGGATGGTGCTTGGCGAGAGGGCCGCGGCCTGCACGTGAGTGGGAACGCCGGGCAGTCCGTCCGCCCAGAGTACGGTGAGGCGGGCGCTGGCCTGGGTGGAGCCGGCACTGTTCTCTGCGATGCACTGGTAGATGGCCTCATCATCCTGACTGATGCTGTATATCATCAGAGTGCTGTGAAGGCAGAGGGTGAGAGAATGTGAACTTTAGTTTCTGAAAAATGAAAAACATTTGTGTAGAAAAATCAGAACAACTATATCACTGTGTTGCATTGCCTTTATACCGCACACTGCCTTTCTTACTGGGACACAATACGTCCAACTCCTGTGTGAGCGGAAATATAAATGATGCACTCAGAGGTCACCAACCTTGACTTCAGAGAATTACTTCACTGTGTATTCAGCAATGCCTACCAGGATCAGGTAACTTAATAATACACGTGTGTGTGAGAAAATGCATCAACAACAATACCCATCATCTGGTAGGAGTCATGATTTTTGAAGGTTAAATGAATCGGGTTGGGATCCAGTGTACAATTTTCAAGTGAATCACAATCAGGGCCACTGAGGTGTGAACCATTTAAATGTATCACTTTGATGTACTGCCCTGGCTGGCAGAAATGTCATAAAATCTTGTGGGATCATTCAGTTGGTGCTTGTGTGTTCAAGAGTTGTTTATACCAAACAGGCTACACTCAGAGGAATTTGTGGCTTACTTTGGTAAAAAAGAAAAATCAATAGTTCCAGAAATATACTGGATTATAATCTTATTTTGGTTCAGATTTAATTGAAAGAGACAATAAAGGTCTGCTTGGCAAAATTTGTTGGATGTCTGAAGTAAATGCTATCAACACAACCCTAGTGCTGTGCTTGGGCCCCAATCTTGAAAATATCTTACTAAGCGAGCCATTCAAATTTAGGAGTTTTACATCACTCTTTTAACTAAGTGTAGACACCGCATCCTCCTTATTCATCACTCCACCTTTCTCAAATAACCTACAATGAAGCCCTGCATTTATGGATTGGCTTTGCAACACAGGAATTATGATATGAGTCTTGACTGCTGTATTACCATCAGACTGGCAGCAATATTATGCATGGATGCTCAAAGCTGGGGGGAAAAAAATCAAATCATTCATACCCCACAGAAGAGAGGGCTGGAGTCTATTTGGTTATATACATACTGGAGAAAAAAACAAAGACACTTGGATTCAGAGCTGAAAAATTTACTGTGTCGCCATGGTATTTTGTAAAAAATCATTGATCATTGATTTCATTAAGCATAACAAGTTAAAAAATGATGTTGGAAATACCTGACAGTGAAGGAAACCCTTTCAAGAATCATGTGTCTCTAAGTATTTACCAATTTTAGAATGGTCTGCTACCGAGCACCAAAACACCTGAGGAAAGTGTTCAGCCTATTTCCGGAAAAAAAAAAAATCAATCTCTATATTGTGCATTTCTGACGTTAGAATGCAGAGGTACGGTATGCATCCATGTACAAAGCGACATTGTTTAGCTGCTTCCTATCTCAGAAAAGCAGAGGACAACACAAAAGGTGATTGTGACAGTTTGCATATGAAGCTTGCAGAGCGTTTTGCTCCTCTGTGAGGGCAAAAAAAAAAGTGTGGCGCACAGTCACATACCACAAACAGCAGCAGAACACACAGAGGACCCTCCCTCATGCACAGCACACACGTTCAAACAGATTCATCTCTGTATTGAACTCCCTCAGTAGTCAAAAAAATGTATTTCAGGGATTAAAGAATGTGATTCTCCTCCATCAGTAAAACCTTTCATCTGTCAATGCACACACGCGAACTCACAAAGCTAGAGACACAAAGATTGCACCTCTGCCATGCTTGACTCTTTGTCCTCATCATTCTGTCTCTGCCTCTTTCAAATACCTCCCACCTGGACAATCTTGTCTTATAGAAAAAAAATATAAGGTTGCATTGTGTGCGTGTGTGCATGCGCTGTGACTTGTGTTTGTACAAGTTGAGTAGGTGTTTTAAGACAGGAATAAACAATGCACCTTTTCCATTTAGTCTGTCCTGAGGCAAAAAGAAGGAACAAAAACATTTAATATAGTATGTAGTGTGAAAAAACCCCTCTAGCCATTTCTGCTATTTTTATTCTATATTATACCCTGAAAGAAGACTGACCACACACACACATCTACCGAAATATAGCCTTGGAATTCCAAAGGAAAGCGTCATCGCTCGGTCAAATTCAAAATGATGTCAAGAAGTCTCGGTTATGAAATGTAAAGAAATGGAAACCACGAGGAGTTCACATGAGAAACCGACTTCTTGTTCCGTTTCTGTGGTTAAAGTTTAGGAAAAGTGAAGATCAAAACCTCATACAGGGAGTCACTTATCTGTCACTTACAGTTTATAAAAGCTAAAAGCTAACTCGTCATCAACGCTTAAACAAATACGATCAGGATGCTGTCACCATCCAAAGAAAAAGTGCAAGAACCCAAAATATTTGCACATATACTGGACTTGAAAAATGGTGAATGAAACAAGTGGCATCTCAGGACTCAACCGCTCTGACCTCAGGGGGGACTCGGCTTCATTTGTGAGAATGAATTTGTGTGGATAGGAGAGCTACTCTGTGGGTCAGCCAGTAAAATTGAGAAGTGAATCATTCCATTTCCTTTTCAGAATCGATTTGCCGATATACAGTTATGTATGTCTCCAATCTAAAATTGAATAGCCTTCAAGTTGGAAGCGGCATCACCATCTCCTGTCTGCCAGGTGGATTCAATCTGGGTCATTATCTGAAAAAGTCCCGGCGCGTTCACCTTCTCCGAGCCTGCCTCACCTCTGACCTCTGAGGTGGCAGCAGCCACCAGCCCTCAGCTCGCCACTCAACCATCACATTTCTGACAGCCTTTCATATCAGCGACGGATGGAGTGTTTGCTGGCAGGCATCCTGACCAGACGCCACAGATGCTGGAAAGAGGCCCTTAGGGAAGCCTTACCCAGTGCCACTGGGGCTGGGGGGGCCCCTTGAGAGTGTGAAATGCAGGGCAGGGCTGTTTGAGTAGGTACAGTACGTGCACACACACGCATATCAGTGTCATAAAACATCACAGACATCACCGATCCTCCCGTTGTGCCAAATAATCGTTTTAAATTCGAGAAGTGCTTTCAAAACGGCAAATTGCAAAAATGAAAGCTTTGGTAGATCTGACATTTCTTTTATAATGAAATGTTTGAAAGAACAGGAGGCAGTGAGGAAATGAAACCAAAAATGTTTGATTGTAAAAATCTTAACTATTCTAAATAAGCCCCTTGCTCACTTTCATGCATATTTGTTCTTTGAATTTGTAGTTATTTGACGGATGAGGGGCACAGTCTCTGTTTAGTTTGGTTTCATTCTCTTCTTTTCATTTGCTTCTTCTGAACATGAGTTTTTTTTCCCCCGAAAGACCTGACAGATGGAGGATATTAGAAGAAGTGGGTTGGGGTTGAATCATGTTTATACAATTAAACAAAGACTGAGAAGAACATATTTATTCAAGTAAATCCCATAGATTGTCAATGATAGTTTTGTCTTATGGAAAATAAGTGGTGTTCTTATGTAGTCCGTCATCTGGGAAAAATTCAGATTCAAATAGGACATAGGAAATACACAACTATAATGTTGTATAACCCCATATTTGTCTTTTGAAATGTTTTTAAGAGGATGTTTCAATCCCGTAGATTTAACATTTTAGTTTTTGTTTTTATTCTGGGATATTTTGGAGAAATCTGAGAGACCTTCCTGCTTGTCTTGAGCTCCTAAACTGAGCTTTCCCGTCTTGACAGGTGGACACCATCATTTACCCATCAGCTCAAGGTCATTTCACAGGCTTTGGGATAAGGCTGAGGGGTGGGGGAATGGCTGACTGTGGGCTTTTGGATCTGTTGTTCAGCTGCTACGGCTATGTTTACTCTCCGTTGTCTCTGAGCAGCAACCCATCAAAAGCCAGCGGGGCCTTTCTGGATTCAACAAGAGTGAAAGGGAGAAAATACGTAGACAAAGAGTGAACAGGAGGAAGAGGAGGGAAGGGGGGAGGGGAGGAGCAATGAGCTGTCTGTGGCTTGAGAGAAGGGACGGGCCCGGGGATATGACTGATTACAGGCGGGTCAGAGTTCAAGGCCAAAGCCCAGGCCCCAGCTCCTGTAATGGAACCAGACAGGATACGTGGGGCACAGAGAGGGGCTGTAGTTCTCAGCAAAAGACAGTAGGGGAAAAAAATAGAGCAAAAAAAACAGTAATTAATCTACGAAACATTTCTGCATCAGCTTCAAAGGTTTGCGCACTATCCAGGTCTCTCAGATGTTAGCCATTAATTATATCAAACACCAATGTGCTCACACATTACCAAGGCACTTTTTGTTTGATTTTTCTTTTGCAGTCATTAGCTATATCACTATAAACAACGTAAGGGTGGCTTTCAAGTTCCCAGTTGTTGAGACTGTGTGGTGCAAGATCACAGCTTCTACACATTGAACAATCATATATGCCAGCTTTAGAGACTTAGGAATAAAGTCAGCCCTTAAATACATAATTAGCGGCAGTACTTACATGGACTTCAAACATGTTTTGCGTGAGCCTGGTAAGGACAGGCTGATAATAAGAGCGTGGGTCTGCAGCGTGGGTCTGCTTGTCTCTGGGAATGTGTGTGTAGGTGTGTGCATCAAGATCGTTTGAGTTGTGGTAAGCAGACCACTCACCTTCAGCGTGAGTAGTTATGCCTGTTTACAGAAGAGGCCAATCAGTTCTCCTCTGACATCATATCATCTTATACAGTATTTCAAGTGGCTTTGTCCTTTGCGTGTGTTTAGCGTGTAAAGTATCAATGTGAACGAGGACTTAAGGGGCAACATGCTTGTGAATTTTTATGTTTGATTATGGGTGTGAGCAGGATGAATAATGGCATGTACCATGGGGCTATTTGTGCACATACGGACTCACTTTCTTTTTGATTAATGTGTGTGCATACGCGTGTGTGAATAAAATGTGCGATCGATTGCCGTTCCTTCCCCTTGTCCGATTTGTTCTTGAAGGTCAGCATCATGAGAGCATGAGAGAGATGGCTGAGGAAAGAGACCTTCCCCTGTGTGTACCTTTGCACAAACTCCAACCACATGCATGAATTCAAATGTTGTTGCCAGGTACGATTTACTGTATACATGCAGCCATACAATACTCGAACCAGATATTGTATGAATACATATATTTTATATCCGTATAGACTAAGAGCAGGATAATTGTGTTGCCCAGAGCTGCTGAATTGATTTACATGTCATTTGTTTTGGTCTGGTGCAGAGGGGTAAACTGTGTCTGATTTAATACATTTTTTTTCTCTTCGAGGAATTCCTTTAGAATAGAAGCACCCGACATGACTTTTGAGCCTTATTTCAATGTGAACTTTCCAAAAACATCAACAGAAATGTAGTTGACTGCTGAAAGCTTGGTACAGAATCAAAAATAAGATGTTATCTTTGGCTCAGATCGTGCAAATGCATGAGTTGTTACCAATGCAGTACACAAAAGCCTTCACAAAGTTAGCATTTTGTGCAGCTGACCAAACTACTGTATATTGAATGTATTCATACCACATTTCTTTCAATTTATAGATAATTATTTATGATTGTGGTAAACAAATGTGCAAACATTTGAGGAATGCTTGGGAAATGCCAATGCTATGTTAAAGCAACATAAATCACAGGGTGTCATTGATGCAACACTTACTTTTAAATAAGCGTACTCTAGGTTGACATTCACATTTTCTGTTTGTGCCTTTTCAAGTTCTCTGGAAATACGTTTAAACAAAACATACCAACAACCATATCTATATCTATGTGCTAATGCAAATATTTTCATGGACACTTAAAACTTGTGCTATAAATTTGTAATAGACTGAGTTTTAACTGTTGACAAAAACAACTCATTCAACTGAAATACTAATGAGATTATGTTTGACAGGACTTTTAATAACTGAAGGTGTAATGTATTATTATATTACTTATTACTTACTTATTACTTTCACTCCAACAGGAAAAAGCAGCTGCTGCTTGTCGAGGTACTTTAGCATCTTTTGATGCACTATTATCTAGCAGCTAGCTGCAAAGACCTGGACAGTCACCAGAGAGCTTTCAATATCAATCCCGCAAACTTCTTATATTAAACATTTGTAACCCCACAGTTTGTATTGTTGAAATGTAAACGCAGTCTTTGTGAAACATCATGCAAAAGGTAAATAACACATCCTGGTCCTTGATGAGTGCTTCCACCTTTAACATGTAAGTTTGAGTGTGTTATGTCACAGTTGGACGGCAAAAAGTTTTTGCTCGATTACTTGCAGGAAGTAGGAGTACGTCCCTGAATAGGATCATGAAACACTTTCATGTTTGTGGTCTTACACCAAACTGTGATAATGAAAGACATTGTAATATGTTCCATCTACCTACTGAACACTTCAAATACACAGTGCACATTCTTAAGAGGTACTTCAAGCCGCTCTGTTCTCTAAATGGCTGATTGCATTTCCTGGTCAACCAGCTGGGTTTATGAGCTCATTAGCTAATGGTAGACCACAAGCTGAGGTCTGCCTCCATAACCAATCACAAAGCGAAGTTTGCGATGCATGAGATTCATATTATAGCAGGTCATATGTAATGGTGGAAAAATGGAAACGCTGCGATGCTCTGACTGCTACGTCTATCTTTCTGTCTCTCTCTGTCTTCATTTATTCTTCTTGAATATTTATCATATCTCCTTTGTGCACTTCTTCATTTCCATCGTATTCTAATTCGACATTTAAGTCTGGCCTCTCATTTATTGTTTCCGACAATTCATTGTCCTTTGTTAGTTTCTGGCTCCATCTGTCTGGCTAACATGGACTGGTGGAGGCGAGTGGGAATAAAGAAGGGAATGTAAACAATGGATATGTCTGCTACTTTCACTTACTGCAGCAAAGTGCAAATATTGATTTTTTTGTGTGCATATTTGAGTTGAGACATTCACTTCATACTTATTCTTTTATGAGTATGATTAACATGCATGGATAACTGGAGACCAGGGTCATCTTGTAAAACTAAACTTTGCACATGCAGTTTTCAATTAGGTAATTTATCCTGGAACACATTTCAGAAATTGAACTGAGCAGTTTATGATTGGAGCACAGAAAGATTAGACAAACTTTTTGTTTCCCTATATAAATAAAAGATAAAACTTTTAAAGCACAAGGTAGCCATTAGTTATTCATTTTCTCTTTTGTATTGAATCATTCTAGTGTTTGGTGGTGTCAAGACTGAACAGCTTCCTTCTTTTCATTTCATTCTTATGTACTACGATGAGCCCATCCATAATCAGGTCCCGACAATTTTGATATTAAAACGCACAAGTAAATAGAGACATGGGTGTTTGACTTGCATGGATTCAGCAGCTGCAGTTTCCGAGACAGAAACTGAACTTTTGAAATGGAAAAAAAAAGAGATCAAGGCAGTATTGATTGATTCCAGCACCTATGCTACTTCTATCAGTTGGGTATGGCTTTTTAAGGATAAAAGGTTCACTGAGAAGGCTGAAAAAAGACAGCTGGCTTATGTGTCTGTCAAGTTATCAAGAGTTGGTAATAACTATGTTATTTTGGCCTCATTTAAAATTCCTCCACCAAGAGACAACATTAATCTAACTCTGCATCATTCATGATGTGATGTTGAGGTGAGTTCTTTCCTGCATTTAATATAATATCATGTGATTGAATAACTTCTTGGGCACTTTACTTTGAATAATTAAGTCATAAAGGGGACATCAAATCAAAAGAAACATCTCTGACGGTCAACAAAAACTGCCAGAGACATTGGAGTTTTTCATATTGCATTTAGGCATGAAGTAACACAGAACAGAAAGGGAAGGTTGATGTAACTGTTTTAACCTGTTGTTGTTCCTGAGTTTGACATGGCCCCCTGCCTCCAGAACCTGCCCGTTCTTCAGCCAGGTGAGCTGAGGCTCAGGCTCCCCTCGCACTTGGCAAGTGAAGATAGCGGTGGTGCCAACTGGTCGGGCGATGGACTGTGGAGGCTGAACAAACTCTGCTGGAACTGAAAGAGGAGAGAAACCTAATTAGTTAACCTCACTGCCTTGCCAGAAAGGTAACAACAGAAATGCATAGTAGAGTAAATACTGGTGTGAATCTATAATTCAGACCAGGGTCATTTACCATGATAATGAGACACACAAGATCAATGCATAAAAAGGTAAATAAAAAAAGGAGAGAAAGAAAGGCAGGCTTAAGGGTAAAAATGAGGAAAGAAAGGGCAAACGAGGTCTACTAAACAATAAATTCCAGGTTCTAATTAGTTTAGTACTGTAAATAAAAGACTACTACTGTCATCTTTTTTTATCCCACAGACATAAGGATGGACTATTCACAATAAAATGGGATTTTGTGACTCATTTCAAAACTACACTTCGACTACCTTCAGATGAGTGTTTGCTTAGAAATATGTAACCTAAGAAAATACATCAGTTACGGTTAGTTTAAACAATGAGACTACATGTGTTGGCTAATTGTTTCAGTGTTTTCAGTGTTTCACCACCTTCAGCATTATTCCATTTTACAGGAAATCATTATCTGAAGCGCCCAGATTCAAGTGAATATCCAAATACCCTAATGGTTAGAGCTAATGAAGGCATCAATACTTTAAGTAAACCATGTCAGCTGTTTATCCAACTAATTATATCAACTGTGTCTCCCTACCAAAGATGGTAGTTTAAACTATTTATCTAGTTTAAACTATTTATCTATTTATCAAGTTTTTTGTAATTTTTTGTAATTTGAGAAAAAAACGAACTGGTTTTCCACATCGTCATGTATAATTTAAACGCATTTATCCACTGATGTAAACTTATAAACATGTTAACACATTAAATTTAAATTGAAATACATCAAATATGATTTTAAACCAAAGGCAATTCCAACTCTTCATAAATTAAAACAAATATTAATTTGTTTATCTTGATGGCCATATGTAAGTTTTTTTTTTCCTTTAAGTTTTACTTGTCAATAATTCTGGTCATCATACTTCTAAATGAGATGGCAGAATCTGTTGGACTGGAGAGAACTGTTCAACTTCTAAGAGCTCCTGCTTCTCATTACCAACAGACTCAACATGCTCAGCACCTTCTCTGCGAAGACTTTAATCTCATAGGTAACAATAATAGTAACACCTTCTTCTTTCTTTCATAAAAGGCTGGATAATTTCCAGAAGAAGGCCAACGTTCAGAAAGTAACTTTTTTACAGCACGTATTGGCATTTTACAGAAATGATTGTCTGATTATCTCTAAATGAACCGCAGGCTCCAAACTTGTAGTGATAAAGAAAAACGAATAACTTTCAATAGTCCTGGGAAATGAGTGATGAGACCGGGGGATAATTGCATCAGCGGTTGCGCTCACAGAAAGTGGTTTATTCTCAACTAATTTACTGAAGGTTTTGGTTTTGTTTTCGCCTGAAAAGAACAACAACGCTTAATGCAACCTATCCTACGGAAATAGACATTTTAATTATTTAAGTAAGCTTGTTTTTTGTTTTTCTCATCTATTTCTCTCCATCGAGATTCATTTAATTTTCTGTTTGTTTTTTTCATCCAGCCATTATGTCCTTCTTGTTCCCACCCTGACAGACCAAATGTTGTTTGACACTTTTTCATTTGTCCATTTGAAAAGAACAGGGGCCCTTAGGCTCTTCAGAGAGGGAGGAAGCTGACAGCATGAGGTGGTCATTATGGTCCTTTCATTTATCTCTTGCTTTCCAAGCCTCTTTGTCCATTTTCCCTCACTAGCTGTTTGTTCTTTAAGACTCTAAAGTTGAGATGAAAAGAGGCTCCGGAAGGTATCGATTTGCACCTGTAAGAGTTTGGGTCAGACCATCAGCACCATCCATCCATCTTGATCTTGCTTTTCACTCTTGGCTATTGCAGTTTTCCCCCTTCAGTCTTCAGTCTTTCCTCTTAGATTCACTCCAAAGAGGGAGTTTCAAATGAACCTCACTCCAGTCCATTTGTAGATATGTGACGGTAGTCTTTGTGCTGTTTCTGCATTAGTCTTGAGTGTAAGTTTGTAAATGCTGAACTCCTTTATCTAAACACTAAGATTCACTGAGGTGTCAAGTGGCTCATTACCGCAAAGCAATGGACAAACTCCTCAAGGACATTCAGTTAAACATAACTCTCTTATGGTCTACAGGCTTCATACACATGTTTATCTGGAGCTAACGGAACACTTTTGTTTCCACAAATCAATATAAAAAAACCAAAGATGCTCATGCATGAATAATATGCCTCTCTTTTCTTTTTGTCCCTGCTAGGATAAGGACTGTCTTAGATCTGACAAGCTGATGAAATGAAATATTGATCAGGATCAATACCACTGTTAGCTGAAGCAAAGTGTGGTCTTTTTTATCAATAAGTGAGCAAGGCAGATGTAAGCTATTTCCTGCTTGGTGACAACTGAGGCGTAAGGCGACCTCCACCCAACAGCGTCCTTTCGGACAAAGCCGTCTGCTTTTGAGTCACTGTTAAGCACTCTCAACGTATCATCTACTGTAAATAAAAAAAAAACAAAAAAACAAAGAGTTCTGCTAAAGCTTAAATTAAGATTGACTACCATAAATAAAGTTTAATGTCATCTAAAAAGTAAAATCTGAGCTACGCTGCTTTTTCTTGAGACTTAAATACTCAGTGAACCTTTTGGAAAAAAAACCTAACCATCTAATCAGCTTTTCATTCTTTAGGCATATGTTGTTCTTAATATTCTGATTCTCCATGACCTTGATTACAAAGTGTAGTTCATGTCTCTAATCATCAAGCATCCCCACAGACACTCCACTCAGTGCCTGCAAATGAAAAACAATCCTTGTCCTTGCTATCTCAAGAACCTATTCGTCATAAAAGTAATAAAAGTAATCGAACTTGCCCTCGTAAATGTAATGTACTGCACCTGATAACTTGCCTGTGTGCAATAGCAAGCATTGGCAAAAACTGCGCTTTTCTTTAAAAGGCATTTTCGGGACCACAAATGGTTTTCACAGATGACCTCAGAGAAGTACTCCTTCCTCTTGTCATGCTATGAATTAGAATTGTAAACCATTGTTGCCCATCTCTAATGGCGGCAAGGACAATTCTTATACATTAATTTAACAATTTCTGCTCTGCCTGAGTGCCATTATTAAGGATTTGCATCCCCGTGGCCCTTGGAATAATTCTCCTCCCATGTGTCCCATTTGTCTACTGCAGCTGCAGTGATTCCAAAACCTACCATTTCTCATTTGAGACATTTTTAGTAAAATATGAGGAAATTAACCAAACATTTTAGAACCAACTGTTATCTACTGTTTTGCAGGTGGAAAATAAATTGAAGTGGGTACGCCATGCCTTTGTTGTCCCTAAAATTATGCAAAAAAACCCCTAAAGATGAAAAATTCTCTGCACCCACGAGGTCAGAATTAGGAAGTCAAATTTAAAGACCACCTACACTAAGCACACTTGTGGCGCATGCAGAAGCAAAGCTCTTGTTCATCACCACAGAGACACCACTTAAGCTCAAGCAGAGATGCCTCAACTAGTGTCACGCTAATCATTCTGCCTGTTTGCTTCCCCCACAGAATTCAAACCACTACTTTATTAGCTTCCTATGGCAGCTTTTACGGGTTTTTTTTTTCTTCTCATCCCCATATCACCTCTTTCAAAAATACTCAACAAAAAAAAAGATCCAATTCCTTTCATCCAGAACTTACCTTGGACAACCAGACGTCCTTGAGCTGTTCTACGCACGCGGGTCCCCGGCTTGTTAGCAGCACACACATAAACCCCCGAGTGCTGCACACCAACGTCTGAGATCATCAGGTTCCCTGTGCCAAGTACCTGGATTCCCTCTACCCCGATGGGCCGGCCGTCTAATCAGGGGGAATAAAAGAAAGCAGCGTGTGAAAGAATATAAAGCAAAGAAAATAATGAAACAGTTCAGGTGTGTACATATACAGTGAGTGTCCATGTAGGAGTATGTATATCTGTGTGTGTGTATCCCACAGTATCTATAAAAATAGGTTCAAATCACAAGAAAAAAAGTCAACGTGATGAAGCTTTACAACCCCTACTCAACAGAGGTTCTTCTTTCCATTGGGGATGCAGCTTTTATGGAGCCTGATGCACTGAATTGTTATGGGGTAAAGAACAAAGACAGGGAGGAAGGTTACTAAGTTTGTGTTTGCTGTTTGAGTGGAGTGTACAAAGCACTTTTTTATTTAATGGGGAATTTTTGTAGATTCCCACTGATATGCTATGGGACACATTTCTTATTAATTTTCTGATGTTCTTCAGAAAATCTGTGCTTTTTAATGTACACGCAGCTTCCTCCTGGGGAGAGTGAATGGAAGAGAAATCCACATTTCATGTTTATTTCTTTGAAAAAGGTTCGCCCTTAACATTGAAACTATTTCAGCTGTCATTCCGGGGTCACAAGCTCTAACTGTAACTTGTAATCTTCCATCTTCTTACACAATCCATAGCTGCCTCCTGTCTGCTCTCACTGTAATTACACGAGAAGCTCACACTTTCCTGTCCCACCTATCTGTTGTGTCAAACACAACAATGACTTCCATCCACTGCTGATATTAGCTTTGGGGCCATAATAATCCCATCCATGATTTCCATCTGTAGCCTGTACGGTTCAGATTCGACGTGTTAAAAGGCCAGGTGGGGAGGCAGGGAGCAGGACACATGCAGAGGCAAGTGCACCAGTCACAGATAGAAAAATCATATGGTTACTGATGTACAAAAAGACAAATAGTAATTAATCAAATTGAACAAAGAAGGAAAATAATATTTTGTTTCTAAAAAAATTAAACAAACATTTGAAGCTGTTAATTTAAGGAGATTATGATCGTTCTGTAACACAAAAAGTCAACATGGAGTGTGTTTTTCCCTTTAATCAGACGTGACCGAAAAAAGCAATCGTCATACACAAAATCGCTTTCAAGGTTTTCTATTAAACATCGTCACTCTCAGACGATCAACCAGGTCCCAGAGGATCAGAACGCACATATGAAGTACATCAGCAACGTGTGTTTGTTTGAAACAAAACACGCTCAAACCAGCTCTTCATCTCATGTGTTCAAGAAATTCATTATGTGGCTTTAATTCTGCACATTTCCACACAAACAATATTATGTGGAAATGTACAAATAAGAAAGTATTATATTAAAGTAACATGGGGTTTAGATCAAACACATCACTCCAACTTGCCCGCTAACTGACTTTGTTCTTCTGTTCCCAGTATAATGTTATTTACTGGCATTTCTTTAATTATCATGAACAAAGCATACCAAGAAATAATAGGTCCAACAGACCTCTGTCTTAACAGAAGCAGTTTTGATCTTTTTTTTGCCTTTTTGCTCGTGTTTTCCCCTCTTTCTCTCTGCCCCCCGCAATCAGTTTTTCTTCACCAGCCACTAATTAATTTAGTGTCAGAAAAGAAAGAGCACAAGCTAGCAGACTGCGATTCCGTTCAATGAACAACAAACTAACTCCAGCATTAAGAAGTGACTGATGTGAAACTATCAGATTCATTATGTGGTTTATCCCAGCCTCCCAGCCATAATCTAATATACATACAAATCCAACTGTGTTAGCTTTTCATTCTGGCAACGCCGTGTAAGGCAATACCCTCAATCTTATTATGCCTGACTGCTTGGGAGGAGAGGCGGTTTACATTTGGAGCTGCAAATCAGATTGGATAATAGGTACCAAAAAACAGATACGAGAATGAGAAATTGCAGATGGCAGACTTTCTATTGTATATTTTTAAAAAGTCCAGATGGGTAGAGGAGAAACTAATGGTATCTGTCTATTCACCTTATAGAAATTATTCAGAGACCCTCCAGTGCTTCGAAATACGTTGATCATCATGAGGAGGTGAAGCTTGTATTTATGAGCCCAAAGTCAAGCATAATGTTTAGCCTGAGGCTTAACGTTGAATTCCACTGACTCACATACGCGTACAGTTACTGCATACGTGTTTGTGTTTATATGTGCACTACACAGAGCAGGACAGATCAAACCCAGACCGGGAGGAACACAAACACATGAGGTCGGTACCCTCCGATTTCAAAAACAGAAGCGCCCACTGATTGATCTTAAGCTCAGGGGCACAATTCCTCAAAGACACACACACACACACACACACACAAAAAACAGTACCCTGTTAATTCAGCTTCTGGGACATTTTCTTTGCCCTGATTGGATAGATGTCTCACCTAGTCTGCTCCAAGACACAATGGGCCGAGGATATCCTGTAGCAACACACTCCAAAATGGCAGTCTGGTGAACAGTGAGGGTTAGATTTTCTGGGCCAACCAGGATCACAGGCTCTTTGTAAACAGATGACTGAGAGCCTGTAAGGATAAGAAAGAGAAGTCTTTCAGATGAGAACGAGCATGATGGATGGCCTCCTTCATTTGGGTTGGTCTAGAATGCATTTGATCAATATCCTGTATCTCTAAGATCAGACAGAGGAACAATGGGTTTGGGAAGTCTTGGGAATATTCAGGGCAGATAAAACAAAGAGGAGTACAGTGGCTTTGTCCAAAAGCACTCACTACTTTCTATATTGTGCAAAACTTCTTAAGTTAAATCCAATAACCTACATGTTGTTCTCAACGTACCCCACAATGCATTATTAAAAAAAGGGGTGAACTACAAGCCAAAAGGCACTAAGGCACAATGGTACCATACACAGCATAATGCATTTTGCAGAAGAAAAAAAAAAGGCAGATGACCACCTAGACCTGCTGCAGTTCAAGGCTCTGTCACACTACACTTTGTAAGGAGTTATAGCTCAATTAAAAATTCATTTTACCATTAAAATCTAATGTGACTTATGTGAACGGAGCAGGAATTCACATTAAAAATGGTCCTGGTGAGTTCAGTTGTGAGAGTCCAGTATAGTCTTTTGCAGAAGACTATATATTTTTAGCTTCGTGAGTGGGTGTGTGCATCTTGGATGCAGAAAGTGACCATATTAAATTAGTGAAGAAGACATTGAAAACAAGCCCAATAAGGGGTTCGCTAAGAATTAATACATAATTATGCTGACATGAAATTGAATTAAAAGCATCACCTGAGACTGTTAGCAGTGCCTCAGCACTGTGTTTGACTCCTGCACTGTTATGGGCCACACAGCAGAACCTTCCACTGTCTTCCTCACGAACTCCTGTGATCTGTAGAACCCCTGTTGGAAGCAGCGTGAACCTGCAGAAGAGAGAAAAAAAAAACTATGAGATAAATTACATTTTTTGAAAAAACAAAGCCAAACCCTCTCCTAAATCGCATCAGGCCATGCTGTACTTTGGTCCGACCTCTCATTCTTAGTGTCCACGGGACGGCTGTCCTTTTCCCAGCTGATGACAGGCTCCGGCAGGCCGTGGATCTGACACTGGAACCGAGCCACACCAGACTCCTCAGCATGCACCGACTCCGGCTGGACATGGAAGTCTGCCATAGCTGTACAGGGAGGGAGAGTGGAACATCAGGTCATTGCATTAAAAAAAAAGCTACAGAGGAAGGAAGTCTAGAGAGTCTTGTGATATTACAGAGTCACTCTGGGGGTACGCGAAAAGATGGAAACAACGGACGTGGTCTGAAACGACAAAGTGTCAAGTTCCTTACATTTAAGAGGTTGCAAAACTTGTTTTATCCATTTGCTCCTCATAGAATATTTTTTTGTTAATCATATTAAATGAAAATGATCAATTCAAAGGTTCGGATTTAGACTTCCTGAGAATTCAACACGTGTCATACTCTCATTTGAACATGACTTAAAGTGGGGCTAAAATAAAAAATCGAGGTTTATAGCAAAAACATATTGAATATGACAACATTTGAGATACTCTTTTTAAGTAAAGCATGTAATTTAGATTGTCTTGACCAAACGACTGAGGGGGTGTCTACAAATGCAATCACAAAGAAAAACGGTCAAATATAACAAAAGAGATAATTAGCCATTTTTTATTTACCATAACATATATTTTGAGGTCCATTTGGCTTAAGAGACATGACATATATGGATCAGTTCAACGCTGATAACGGTTTTACATACAGCATAGAAGGAGACATTTAGATTTCCTGGCATATTTAGTATGTAGGTCAGGCTTCTTTTTTATGGCATAGAGAAGGAAAACATAAGTACACAAGCAGTGTCATATAGCAAAACCCACACCAATATGTCTACAGAGAGCCTCATTCAGCTGCACTTACTCCCCGAGGAACAAAGGCGCAATCAGAGCTGGAGCCAGCAACAAACTCAATTACAGAGAGGCCCTCTTCTTCCTCAGTTCTCCCACCTTCTTCAACAAGAGTGCCCTCTTTTAAATGTCAGCCATAATTAAAGAGGGTCTTATCTGAACACTGTTACTTCAGTATAACAAGCGGGTTCAAACCTCTTATTTGGTAACCCGTTGCTCCGAAGCGTAGCCAACATTAATTCATTAGCTGCAGGACCAGCAGAAAGTAAGCAGCCCAACTTAGAGGCATGTCTAGGCTTCAGACACCTTTGGTTACTGTTTTATCCCTTCCTGTAGCATCTTTAACTCCCCATATGTGAATCACAATGTCACCATTTTCTGCGGCTGCATTTGCTGACTTGACAGCGATTTCTGCACAGACTCTTTTGCAGACGAGCCATTCATTTCAACTTTATCCTGTTGTAGTGAAATTGTAGAACCAGACATCAAACATGAATGTTAAGGGACAAGTGAGGCAGAGTGAGACAGATACTTCATATAGAGTGGCTGCACTTTGGTTGTAGCTCTGCAGTGAAGTCTAACATGGTGATTATTTCATTCCACAGCTTAATGAGAAGAGTGGCATTTTCCAACACGACTTGACCTTAGATCTGTGAATAGATGGATGGAGCTCTAATGAAAATCAATTTCAATTCTATTTTATTTATCTTGCACCAAATTATAGACGAGGTTATCTCAATGCTCTTTACATAGCAGGGTCAGGAACTTACAATTCTATGAAGACAAACCTAACAATTCCGCTTTGAGCAAAGTCTTTTAACAGGAAGTAAACTCTAGAAAAGCCAGACTCTGCGTGGGCAGCTTTCTGCTTCGATCAGTCGAGGCGAAAAAAGAGTAGACACTGGGAACTTATATGCCAATATTTTTATACAATATGTTTTTTCCCATGTACCGCTCACATAATTCCACTTTTTCACAATAAGGTGATAAGTATGATAGCTAACCTGGATTTATCAAGAATAAAATGGAAATTCCAGCTATAATTAAGATTTTTCCAAAGAGAAGATGCGTCAATGTTTTAAGATTCTTAAGATTCTTTAAGATTTTGAAGATTCTTCCATTTCTACATTTTGTAGATTAAGAGTCTGATTGGAAACCTGTCTGCCATTGATAGCTGGGATAGGCTCCAGAGGGTAGGTATAAAACATAGATAAATTGAGAGAAATAGTCATTTGTGAGTGAATAGGTCAGTTGGGACTACTTCCAGCATTGCAAACTCCGGCCATGACTGAGAAAAGATAGCTCATCTTTAGTATTCGTCTCAAGATAATATGAGGCAAATTCCTATGGCGTTTATTTATTTCCATCTTGTTTCCCCAAGTCACTCCTTAGCAGCTGCACATTTTACTGAGGTAATTCAGACTAAGTGTCCATCTCAAGGGCCCCACAATATTTCCAGTTGGGACTCACAACCTTGTACTCATAAAATGTTTGACGCTAACATCACCTTGAAGCACATATGACACAGAAACTCTTCGCAAGTAATATCCTTTAACTTCTCACTCATATTCAGTTGTTTCGTTCTTTCAATTGCAATGAATTGCGATTAAGAATAACAATTTAAAATGTTCACTTCAAAAACTCGCGAGAAGTTATAACATTTGTTTGTTTCTTTTTTAGAAAGACCATGGACAGTGGCAGTCACCAACAGTTGGAATTGTGTCCTGCTGGGATACTGCTGGGAGCATCTGAAATGAAATCCCCAGAAGTTTTGGTAAAGTATGGTTCAGATAAAAAGGCAAAAATCCTTCAGACCACAAAATATAGGAAGCAGAAAGTAGAACTGATTACAACAAATACTTTTTGGAAGAGAGTCTAAAAATGGAGACAGAGACTAGTACATATATTGCTGTATGTAGTGGAGGAACACAGGGACATCTGAATCCTTAAGAACAAAAGACGGTTGGGGCCTGAAGGAGCTGCATCGCACACATCTATGCCAAGTTAGTCGCGGTGTCTGCTGTTCTGGCTGTTGTGTGTCCGCTCACACGACCCTTTAACAGGCCCCACCCTCAGCCCTCATGCATAAAACATAGCCTCTATGAGAGGCCCACACCCCCTTGCGAACACTAAACCAGATACAATTGTTAAAATCACAATAGGGCGATATACACTGATAAATGCAAAGAGCTGGGAAACTTGTTAACTGTCTGTACAAGCTGTAAATGTCAGTAACATTTGTTCATCTGCATTGTGCTCGTGCCTTTTTATTCAGTTTAACATCACTAAACACAGCAACGTGGAGTGTATATTAATGCATGCAAAGAATGGCTTCAATAAATACACAGTACAATATCGACCATCCCCCTCAACACTGGATGAAAAGACAGATGAGCATGAGGCGATGAGGCGCTCTCACTCATCCCAACACTCGGCCCCAACAGACCTGCTCAGCCTTTGTTTTTCTCTCTTCCTCTGCTCGGTGTTGACAGACACTCGCACATGACTAGAGACTGTCCACTACCAGCATGATGCCACTGGCTTAAATGAAGCAGGTCTAATTGCAGCAATGGGGACAGAATAGATGGGGTGCATACTAAAAAGAATTCCATACACAAGTGCACAGGGAGGAGATTGCTCCTTCAGCATATGTCAGACAGTTTCTTGGTGACAACGACAAAAGAAGAATGATTGAGGGGATAATATGAGGGAGGGTCGCAGACAGGAAATGTGAAGCATGGTGATTTCAACAAGTAGCCTCGCTGTAAATCAGATCTTGTCAAAAGTGAGAAGCACTGTCCTGCTGGGTCTCTCACAATAAACAATAAAGTGCCTCCAAAAGCAATCAGAATCAGGCAGATATAAGCATGAAAATCTGTCTGGAAGGTAGAAATTCTTCCTGCCCGTGCTTGAAATTTACAGACGTTCTAAGGCTGAAATCTTAATGCAAGTGCAGTTATGCTAATGCTGATTATTGGATTTGGAGGCGAGTGACAAAGGGCATTCAGTATTGATACATTTTCCCATCATTCAATTCCACATCACAGGTCATCTACAACAGAACATAAAGCTGGTGGATTAACAGGCTTTTCATGTGAGCAAGTCACAATTATACCATGAAGAAATGTAGATTAAATGGTGATTATTTGAATGACCCCACTGCAAATTCCTTTTTTTTTCATCTAATGGCCCAAAGTAATGATCCATTTCATTAGCACTCACACTAAAAGACACACAAGATACTTTACTTGCAATAGTTAACAACGATAAGCCGATAACTGACTGTTTTCAGTGGCGTGTCCTTTGGAATCACCACATCAACCGAATACATGATGCATTTTTAGGTTTTTACAGACCTGTGGATGTTGTTTTTTTCCTGTGCTGGGGATGATTCATTGATATGACAGAGTTAATGATGCCAGCAGAGACACAGCACCATTCAAACCTGCAGCTACAACATAAAGCTTCAGTGAGCCCTCATGTTAGAATGTTATTGCCCTCCCTTCCCTTTGCCTCCAGCAGCCATCTCCGACCCTCCAGTCTACATGCGCGCAGCTCTTCACCCCTCCCTCACCTCATTCCCGCGAGTCCTCTCCAGCTTGTGACATCATTAAGCATGTGTTGTTCAAGCAGCAGTTATGACTGTCACACCACCCCCAACCCCATATAAACCAGTAAATTTGAGAAGAGTTGTATGGTGCAATTCCAACGTGAAGAGCCTGCACTTCAACAACCCTTAAATAGGCATCCCTGAATTAGGTGTCCCCAAAGCAGGTTCTGTGTCGGGACCCTCGAGATGGCATTTTAATGCAGATGTGATATTTTACTGGCTCCCTACCCCATCAAGCCCCCTTCCCCTCCGTCACCCCTACCCCCGCACCCTGGCTCAGGCACTGCTGTGATCCATCTGCTATTTTGTGGTGCGTGATGCTTATCACCTAGCAGAGGATGGGCTACACACTTATGGGCCGACACACACTCATTCTTGTCCTTTAATGCTTTGTCACCATGACACCTTACCGTACGAGCCTGTGTGATCAAAAGCATCAATTTACCAGAACATCTGCCATATTATCCCAAGTGGCAGATGTTCAGATGTGCATGGGGCCCATGAAGCAAACCAACTGATCGTTTATGTTAAAAGCACTCCAGCTAATACATCTATAATAATATTTATAAGGCAGAACATTATAGTTATTCCTGGAAGTGGAGCTTGTCCTGCTTTATGGTGAGGAAAACCTTAGTAATTAACAAAGGTTAATAGATTTGACCTAAATT